TTTGGTGATTGGAGGAGACATTGAACTCCTTAGAAAATTCAAGGCTTCCATGCATAATGAATTTGAAATGACAGATTTGGGAGAGATGAAATACTTTCTGGGAATGGAAGTGATGCAATGCAACAACGAAATCTTTGTTTCACAAGAGCAATATGCCAAGGACATTCTCAGGAAGTTCAAAATGGATAAATGCAAGCAAATTGCTACTCCTTGCACAACATCTAAAATTGTCTAAAGATAATGACAGCTTGAAGTGTAATGCTTCAGTTTACAAAAGTTTGGTTGGGAGTTTGCTCTATCTTACAGCAACAAGTCTTGATCTCATGTTTGCTGCCAATCTATTATTAAGGTACATGACTTCACCATCTCATACTCATTTCAGTGCAACTAAAAGAGGTTTCAGATATGTAAATGGAACTATTGATTATGGTATTTTGTATAAGTTTGCAAGTGATGGTTCTTTGCAAGGCTATGTGGATAGTGACTGGGCAAGATGTCCCAATGACTCAAAAAGCACTATAGGATATGTTTTCTCATTTGGTTTAGGGATATTTTGTTGGAATTCATCTAAGCAAGAACCTGTAGCACAATCTACGGCAGAAGTAGAATATATTGCTGTTGGAGCTGCCTCAAATCATGCTATATGGTTGAGAAAAATACTGAATGACATGGGACAAAGTTAAGTTTAACCATGTGTGATTCAAATTGACAACAAATCAGCCATTGCAATTGTTGAAAACCCAATACAACTTGGAAGAACAAAGCATATTCATGTGAAATATCATGTGATCAAGCAATATGTTAAGGAGAAGGAAACCAAACATTTGCACTGTGATTTTGAAGTTTAAGCTGCTAATCTTCTCACTAAATCCTTGCCAAAATCCAATTTTGAAACTCTAAGGTCTATGCTCGGGTTAACAAAGAAACCTCACAAGGAGGAGTGTTGAAGATCAATGAAATAGTGCAACTAGTTACGGTTCATGTGCGCTGTTCATATCCAGTTTAGTTTCAATCAAGTTGCTGAGAAGTTTCTTTATTGATTTTCCAATGTAATCTTTATGTATTTTTTATGTTAAGCGTTGACCTAAAAATATGGGCTAGCTTTACTTGTATGCAGTACCATTCCCTTACTTTATGAGGTTTATATTATTATTTAATTACAGGTGAACATTATAACGTGACTGGCAATGTTTTGTATAAAATGCATACCCAAAACTAATGAAAAACGCATGGAAAATCAATGAGAAAAATTTGAGCATCATGTCTAGCTCAATTTATGTTATTTCCTTGACCTATCACATGTTTCTCAAAATTTTTTTTTCTTGAGTTTTATGTTGATTTGAATCAGTTTTTCTTAACTAATTTTACATGCATCATAGCAGAAGCATCCACATAGCAGTCGACTACTAGCTCCTTACTTGCGTGCAAAGCAACATCCCTGTACGCTACTGGCTCCTTCACGTCTGTTAGCTCCTTCACTTCTGTCATTCAGGGCAGTGAAAGTTGGTACCTTACTGGACTTCAAGTATCTGACTTTAACCATTGATCAGGCAAGACTGAGCGAAGCTACTGGCTCCTTCACTTCTAGCATTCAGGAGTGAATGTTCGGTACCTTACTGGACTTCAAGTCTTTAACTTTAACCATTGAGTCAGGCAAAGATGGAGTGAACTTTTGTAGAGGTGGGCTAAAAAATTTCGTAACTAAAAAAAAAAAAAATTTAAATTGACAAAATTGTAATTGATAGAAAGGATTTAATTAGATTTTGAGTTTATTTGATTAAAAATTAAATTGAATTAATTTTAAATAGTTAGAGTTTTTGGGGATTTAATGTAAAGTTTTGGAGGAAAAGTGTAAAAAAAGATGTGAACTTTATAATTTTTTATATTTAAGGATGTTAATTTTGTTAATTTTTAAATAAATATGTCAACTTTTAATTTTTTTATTTAAAAATATTAATTTTTTATTTTTTTATTTAAAAATATTAACTTTAAACTTTTTTAATTTAAGAATTAATTAGATAATAATGCTAATGTGACAAATAGATTTTTTAATCAAAATATTAAAAGTTAATATCTTTATTTTTAAATTAAAAAAATTGAAATGTGACATCTTTAAATAAAAAATATTAAAAATTAACATTATTATTTAAAAATTAATAAAATTAACTTTAAATAAAAAAATTATAAAATTCACTTCTTCTTTTTTCACCTTTACTCTAAAGTTTTACCTTTAATTAGTCACAATTTTTTATCCCACCCCAGTTTTTAAGGAGGACTGTAACTGTGGTCTGTGGCCAAGTCCGATATTTGATAAGATGGAAATTGGAAGATAGGTCCTGGTTCTGAAAAATCGAAAAATTTTCATTTCATTGATAGCGACTGCTAATCAATGCGTTTACCCACCTTTTTGATTGAGGATGTTGACTCCGAAATTAGGACCAGGGATGGTAACGGTCGCCGCTGGGACGGCAATCCCCTCCATATTTAGCTTAATTTTATGATTAATCTATCAATTATTACTTTAAGTTTATTTTAATTTAAAAAGTTAGTTTTTATTTTAAATGATTTATAAATTTTATAAAATATTTTAAAATAATTTATTGTATAAAATATTTTTTAATTAAAATAGAATAGTTTTATTTAATAAAGTAATTTATGATAAATTGTATAAATTATTAAAGTATGTCAATAATTATGATTTCTACTATAAAAAAAATTGTTAAAAAAGAAAATTGAAGTAACATAAACAGTAAAAAAAATTATTATTCTCATAAAATTAGTTTTATTTCAAAATTAATTTTAAAAAGTCAAAATTCATAAAAGATACAACTCAAAATCAATTTGACCAAATAAAATAAAATTATCATTAAAAAGTTAACAGATTATATCAAAATGAAATAAAAATAATAAATAATAAATAAATTTTAAAATATCTAAAAATAATAGATGAAACAAGAAAATATAAAAATTATTAAACTATTCATTAATTAAGCCCTCCATATTTTCGGCTCCGTTAATAGCAGGTACGAGAAATTTGGCGAAAATTTTTAGCAAGGAGGCAAAGAGTACCTTCCGTCCCATTCTCGTAAGTACGTAGATTTTTTTGCTAAATATTGAAGTTATAAAATTTAGCTTTATTTTTTTGATAAATAAATTTTCTAATATTACATGAAGAATAATTCATAACATATAAAAATAAAAATATGTAGAAGTAAAAAAAAATGAAAAAAATTTCACCAGCACTATAAAAAAGTATTACATAAAGAAATAAAAAATAGAAGAAATTTAAAATAAGCAAATATATATAGTCTAGCAATTGCATATAATGATTTAGTAAATACATATAGTACAACAAATTCATAAAAAAAAATTGTATAAAAAGAGTAGAAATTTAAAATAAATTGGGTTTTATGTTTTAAAAATATATTATAAAAATAAAAATTTAGGTTGGGTTTGATAAAAATTAATTGGATTTTATGTTTTTAAATATATTATAATTTATGTAAATATAAATTTATATTTTTTTATTATATATAAATCTTTGCGATGACCCAAAAGGCAGAGAAAACTCTTCACAAGATTTTACTGATAAAAAATTACCTTCATTCCCACAATATGGATCCCTAAGATACTTCATAGGTTTCAGAGCAAATTGACGCCCCTAATTAAGACCTCACAAATTATCTTTGAGAGGGATACTTTGGGGGAGAGAGGGCAATGTGTTCTCAGAGGGCGAAGACTCCTTCCCATTCCAATCACGTCGTTGGTTGATACAATGATCCTCGTGAAAATTTTTGACCGAGGGCAAAAAATACTTTCCATCCCCATTCCCATGAGGTATGACGGGTCCTTGCAAGTATGGGAATCCCCATAAAAGTATAAAAAAATATTTTTTTTGTTTAACCATATACAAATTACTTTAATTCGTTAAATTCTTAGTGTAGAAAAAAAAATCCAGAGCATTTTAGAAAAACTAATTATTTCTAAGTTTTTTTTTTAAATTAATAAAACAAAATAAAATAAAATAAGCTTTGCTTAACGAGTAAATAACTAAAGTAAGCTAAATATAAATTAAGAAAAACCCATTAAATAAAGAGGTAAAGTCGAGAGAAACTAAGGTAATAGGAAAAAAAGGAGAGATGTGAGAATTAAAGTGTTTGTAGTTAGAATTTATAAATTTAAAAATTGAGATGCTTAGGTTTATTATAATTTATAAAAATATAATTTATAATTTATAATTAATTTATAGTTCTTTGTGGGGATTTGAAGGGTAGGAAAATTTCATATAAAATTTTATGAGAAAATATCATCTCCATACCCAACCCAACAAAGAAGAATATTCTCAAAATATCTGTGCCAATGATGGAGATCACTATAAAACTCTACGGGTTATGGAGAAAATTTTCATCTCTTTTTTGGAGTGATACTACTATATGGTATTTATATATCCTCTAGAGAGTGGGATAATTATAGTTATATAATAAAATATTAAGATTATATAAAAATTTAAATATTATTTTTTAAAAATATTTATTTTATTTGATTATTAAAAATAATTAATAATTATAATTATTAGTTAATTAATTAAAATAATTAATATTTATTATTTAATATATTAATATTATGATATAAATTAATATTTTTAAACATTATAACTATTTATTTATAAAAAAAAATATTATGTCATCTTAATAATTTGGTGTGTGCGGCCATACCCAGACCTATAAAGTGCACTTAATCTGCACGTCGCAGAGCCATTGGTTCTTTTGGATCCTTTGTGGTGCATCAGCGAGTGCTCATATAATAGCTCTTTTGGGCTTGGACTTTGGTTTTTATTAGTTTTGGGTTATTATTATACCAATAAAACAATTCATTGGATAATGATTTATACCATAAAGATTCAATTAATTCATCCCTTTCTTTATCACTCTCCAACCATTATATGAGTGCGCTAGCCAGCTTGATGTGTTGATAATGTATGTCAAATATTTTGATTTATATTAAAATTTAAATTTCTATTCAATTAGCTGTAATATTTTTTTT